GGTGTCTTTTTTTCTCTCATATATATTTATCGTTTTGCTGGATAGCAAAAAGAGATAGATACTTTTGTTTATGAATAAATTCTTTAATGAAATATTTGAAAATATTTTTTTAAATGATCTATTGAAATCTTAAACATATTTTATTTTTAGTAATTAAAGTAAAATATGTTAATTCACACAGAAGGCAAAAAATAGTCTAAAAGTGTGAAAAGACCCGTGAAACATAAAAGGTGGTCACCAGTTACAGTGTCTAAAACACAATATACACTTCTGTGTGCTCTGTTTTTTTTTTTTGTTTTTTTTTTATTAATTTGTATTTAGCAAGAACACATTAAAATTATGTTCTTTCAAGCTTTCTATTGATCAAAAAATCCTGAAAAATATCACGGTTTTCACTAAAACATTAAGCAGCACAACCGTTTTCTACATTGATAATAATAAGAAATCTTGAGCAGCAAATCAGCATATTAGAATGATTTCTGAAGGATCATGTGACGCTGAAGACTGGAGTAATGATGCTGAAAATTCAGCTTTGATCACAGGAATAAATGACATTTTACAATATATTCAAATAGAAAAGTTATTTTATTAATTGTAATAATGTTTCCCAATATTATATTATTGTTTTTACTGTTAACAATATTACTGTTTACTTTTTGATCAAATAAATGCAGCCTTGGTGAGCACTAGAGACCTCTTTCAAAAACATTTAAATAATGTACCAACCCCAAACTTTTCAACGGTTGTGTATATTTTAACCTAAAATCCTACCCAAACACATTCCACGGCTAATAATGCCTCTTAGATGCTTAAAAGACAAAAAGCAAACAAGCATGTTCCCACAATAACTACTTTATTTTATTTTTTCTGTCATAGCAAATGATTATATCCGTCACAATACACACAAACTCAGCAGGATTTACCCAGCGGGACTGAGGACAGACTCCTCGAACTATAACCCTGTGCCTCTGTGGAACGCAGGCTGTCAGATAGGTAAAGAAGTCATGAATCTGATACCCACCATATAACTGACTCTATTGAGAAACATGTATATTCAGATTTAATCCGAGTGGAAGTTGATGTTAATGTCACTTCTCCCTTTAGTGGCCCTCAACTTCCAGACGCCCTGCCCAGAGATGAATCTGAATCAAGGGCTCTTTCTTCAAAACGGACAGACTGGTTACATCCTGAAGCCGTCTTACCTACGAGACCAAGACACTGAGTTTGACCCCATCACTCTCACCAAGGGACCATGGTTAAAGAGAAAGAGTCTTCATGTGATGGCAAGTGGCTCTCCAACACCTTTTTTATTTTGCAATATATGGACTATATCTTTGTTGTTCATGTCAGCTGCATAGCTGTTTTTTAACCACTGTTACTGTTTGCCTAATAGGTGATCTCAGCCCAACAGTTACCCAAAGTGAGCCAAAGGAAGTCCTCCATTGTTGATCCCATTGTGCAAGTGCAGATCTACGGTGTGCCAGCCGATACGACCGTGGTGGAAACGCAGTACATTGAGAATAATGGTATATTAACCCTGTAAATGTTCTCAATCAGGACTCGCCTGGATGTTGCCTAATCGCTCTCTTTTCTCTCAAGGCTTCAACCCTATGTGGAATGAAAACTTCCAGTTTGATGTGTGTGTGCCAGATCTAGCCCTTGTGCGCTTTTTGATTGAGGACTACGATACCGCAACGGACAATGAATTTATTGGCCAGTACACACTTCCCTTCAACAGCCTAAAGAACGGTTAGTGTGCTTCAGTCCTGTACGAGAGCAACGACAATCTGCAAAGTGATTTGCAATTTAGGATTTTAAGTTTTTAATTAAAAAAGGGCCAAACAAAGAGATGAGTATGCATGCTAAATATGATAACCACTTCAACAATACTATTGATTTGTTGCTTATGTCATTGGCATATAAAGGGTGTATTTCTGTTCATGTTATACCACAGGATACCATCATGTGCCATTGCTCACCATGAATGGAGACCTCCTTTCCTCAGCTGGGCTGTTCGTTCACATCATGGTTGTGGATGCTGAATAATACACACGACGTTGCAGGTTTATACTTTATCTGAGATGATATTGTCACTATATTCAACAGCGCAGACGTCCTGAAGGGTAAATGTCTCGCTTTAATTGGTCGGCAAAAAATAAGGCAGCTTGAGTGATTCTGGTAGGCAGGGAAATTGTGGGAAAACAGCAACCTTTCCAAAGTTGTAATATGATGGTCTCACATTTAATGTTAATTTTTTGTACTTTTTATTATTTGTAAAATGTTATACAATTTAGTTTGCCAAATGGATTACCTACTACAACTGTGCATTCTTAACATTAATATTCACGAGTGTCAACCTTTAGTCTTAGTTAAATAGAACACCGTTTTTAGATCTAAAGATTTTTGCAGAGGATCAATTTGATGGTGGAATTACAAATAAACAGGACCATTCCACCCTTTGTAATATCTCTAGTTAATTTGTTTTTAAGCTTGCATTCATTTTTATTTTTTGTCTTTTATGTAGTTACATACCATATATGATTTGTCATTAAATAAGGTACTTAAATTGTCATGTTTCTGGCTGATACTCTGTCAGAGAACTCAAAGCCAGTGATCCTGATGAAACACATTGCCAACTGTATACATCAATATAAAGGAGAAATAAATGTAAGTTATTAAACTGTTGTCTGAGTTCTTGTACTAATTCTGTAATGGCTTTAATCAGACAAGAGGTATGAAGAAATTAATTTTCCTGAGTATTCATATGGGCTTGAGGGAGAACTGGCACTCAAACAACATCAGGATAAAAGTCTGCTGTTGACACTTCTCGGATTCTAAAAAAAAAAAATTCTTTTTTAAATCACAATATAAATAACAATTTCTTTGTGTTCCTAAAAGAAATGTTATGATATGAAGTAAACAAGTCATTAATCACAGTAAATTTGTGATATTGATCATGTGACTTGGATGCTCTTTGGATCAATTCAAATCATGCTGGAGAACATGATCATGATATTGTGGCGCTGACACGGTTTATTCTCTGTTGATTCACCTGCTGTTGGGGGGAGGTGTCCGGGAGGGATATAGTTAAGAGGGAGGGGCTTAAGGACGGAGAGAGAGAGAGAAAGACTGAAAGTCAGTCTGACGTTACATCTCTTTTTGGGCGTTCATGTCGTTTTTGGGGACAGTTAGGACACCTCCTGATACACGTGTTAGGCTGTACACGTTCAGGAAATAAACCTCCAAGCCGTTTGGGGCTTGTAAACCGGATCTTCGTCTCCTGTCTGTTTCTCTGGGAAAGTGCACGACGTTACACTATTTTGAAGTTCATTTTTAAATTCAACTTTCCCTAAACTCAGTGATTTTCCAAATAAAATCAAAATTAATTTTTTCAAATTAAGATATTTTTCTAACCTACATTAGGACTATGGAAGACATTAGGACAATGTTTTGTTGGTGAAAAACTATTTTTTATAATCAATAATTTTTTGTTTATAATCATTACCCCAAATAAGCACAAGCAATTACTTGCATGCTGATTCTGTAAAAATTAAAACCTAAAACTACACTAAAATATTTCAACCTCTTTTTCAATGGATATGCTAAAAGACACCATTCAAGAGGTGACATTTATTTAGAAGAAATGAAAAGATCTGAGGATACAAGACCTTTAGTTCACAGCAATATAAAAGGCATTGTGGTTTTTTTTGTGGTTTTTTTAAAAGGTGCTTTAATATAACATGTCAGAGTCCGGAAGAAAACTTGCAACAACCATGAATTAATTCAACTTGAAATATACTCCAAACACCAGCACTGTACAGCCTCTCCAAACTGATTTCAAGCCTAGAGTAAATCGTGTCTGTATGGCTTACTAAAAAACAAAGAAAATAAGGCATAATTTAATTGGATGTGCCGACTTAAAACATTGACGTGACATCATGAAAACAAAGTGTATTAAAAACAGCACCTGACAGTTTAGAAGTGAAAAACACATGGAGAAAAAAGTAAATAAAAACCGTGAGCAAAACCAATAGTGTTTCAACGCTGTCAGATCACCTGGAGATCATCATATTATTTAAAAAAGGTGACTTTCGCAAATGTGAAAAATATTGTGTTTAACGATTAGATATAAAAGCTAGAAATCAAAATGAACAAGCCAAATTATCCAGGCAGCTAGAAGATCTTCAGCAACCAGCAGATTTGAAAGAGCCGACGATTGAAGGAGAGGCTGTAGAGCATGTCAACAAGCAGAAAACATCTCAAATACTGACAGAAGACCATAAAAGTGAGAATGGATTGCTTTCCATCGCCTGCCGCGGTACAGGATGAAGAGAGATGCAGAGAGGTAGACGAAGAAAGACGGAGGAAAAAAAAAAAACAGGACTGAACTGTGACGTGGCGGACTCTGGGCAGAGAGAGAAAGAGAGAGAGGTTATTGCCTGTTCATCTGCTCCTCTCATCTTAGGCACTGCGGTGATGCAGAGTCTGCACAGCTTGCGCCAAACACTTTTAAAACTTCTCAAAGCCAGAATCTCATCAGGAGAAAAGGCCTCCGTTTAGCTCTACAGGAGGGCTGCGCCGCAACAGGACAAGAGCAAACCCTTTAAGGACCGACTGCGACTAAAAACGCGTCCTTTCCGCCCATGGATGATAATCTGGCACAAGCTGCACAGCGCTCTAGTCCCTGGGCTGGTACTGGTCGTACCTACAGGGAGGTCTTTTGTAGTGTAGTGTACAGTGGTAGCAGCAACAGGGTATGGTTTAAAACAAGTTGAAACTAATTAAAAAAATATAAAGATGATGGACCTGTACCAATTCTCAACGACCCGATGAACAAAAAGAATTAAAAATGATAAAAGGGATACATTTGCAATTGTGCATCCTGGCTTCCATAAAGGACACGCCCCCTTACTAATACAACCGGGGGACAACTGCAGTGTCTACGCTACTTCACCAAAAGGCATTTAGCGACTAAAATTCTATGTCGACTGGGCAAACAATTTCTTGAAATGTCCAAACATTTGTCTTCAGCACCAATATTAGCATCTGGCTTGTTTGATGAAAACGAAACGTACTTCAGCATCAGATTGCGAGACAAACTATTAGTGATTGGCACGATACAATCTTGGGTTTAAGATCGTTACCCCTAGGCAAGTTGGCAAAAGAGGCCGTGGTATACGAGACGAGTAACCTAACAAGTGCAAATGCATTCCTTTGCTCTTAGAAAACAAACTAAACATATACAAGTCTAGATAATAGTATCAGTCTATATAAATGGCACAAGCTAAAGCAAAATTTAAAATAAAAGGAGCGCAAGAAGAACAAAGATGGTGTCGTGTACCCAGCTTTACATCATTAAAAATCTCTGGCCTCTTTAACAGTGCTTTTATAAAAAGAGACTGACCTGCCTCCGTTTTAAAGCGTATAATTCTTGTAAAGATTAGGTTCTCTGGAAATGTCATGTACAAAATGTTAATTTCCCCCATAAAAATGACATTCAAAAAAGGCACTTTGTTGGGTCGGAGAGAAAACCCCACAGTCCTTTAACCCTACGGATTTCTACCTGCATAGCAACACCTCAGAGAATGGTTATGACTTGAATATTTTCATTTCAAAAAGGAAAGAAAAAGTAGATTTGTTTTGGTTTATCATAAGCACTTTTCAAAAGAGAAATATTTGAGTGTCCACTAAATGTAAAAAGTCTGTTCATGTCACTGTGTGCGTGTCCTGGTTGGGGGCGTGGGTGTTCTCGGTGAGGTGAGGACCACAGGGTGGAGGAGAGAAGAGAGAGGAGCTGGGATGGGCTCTCCACCGGGGGACTCCACTGGCCCCTCGTCAGGCTGCTACCTGCCCCTCAGGTTCTGCAGCACCCCGTACACGTCCTCCTCTTTGCTCAGTCCCTCAAAGAAAGGCAGCAGGTCCAGGAGCTCCGTGTCAGTCATGTCATCAAACCACGACTGCACGGGAACCTTCACAAGACACACACACACACACACAATTAGAACCTGACATTAGAGCTTTTCACATTTGAAACTGTTAACCCTGGGTCATTCTAAACCCCGGGTTAACGGAATCCTGGGTTATCTTTATTCACGTTTAACACCTCATATTATACCCGGGGTTAACAGTTAATCCTGGGGATTCAAAAGCTGCTGTTTCACACTACAAATTCCGCTGTCTGCACACGCAAGGTCTTTCGCTCCCTTACCTCTCTGCGGTTTGGAGCACAATATCTGTCTCGCATGCACGCTCGCTCTAGATTACGGGATATTTGAACTAATTTGTGGTATAACTACTAGTCGATCACGAGTGGCTCAACAGGTAGATCTATAGATAAACTCATCTTTCAGGCATTTGACCGACCGGGTTGACACTTCAGCGTGAGAAATCGGGGGTGTGGCGTGAGAATATGGGGTAATTGCGTGAGAGTTGGAAGCCCTGGCTAACCACACTTTTAAATTAAAAGTGTGAAACGTTCCTTTACCCGGGGGTTAAAAGCGGTGATTAGAACGACGATAACCCGGGGTTAAGCGCAGTGTGAAAAGCCCTATTGTATTATAACCAGAAGACCAGTTATGAAATGTCACTGGTCCAAAATCTTGCTTCACATAATTTATTAAACATATTAAACATCAAATATTCCTATACTTTTTGCAAATTGTGCAGCATTTTCACATTCAGTGACAAAAAAGAATTTGAATAATGTTAATGTTGCCAGAATCTTGTTGCACCAGTTTAGGACTGAGTGTACTTTTTTTTGCACTCAAGATTTTTTTCTCTCCCAAAAAAGTTACAGTGTAGCTTTAACTACACATGGTCATATAAACAACCAGTTCAACCATATGAACCAAGTCACACAAGCCTAACGAACAACATAACAGCAAGTTGTAAGCTTTATGCGTTTGATTCACTAAAAATAATCATTTGGGAGTCGATTGTGATTTGCCAAAAAAAAAAAGAAAAAAAAAAGACTGATTCAGAGACAATCATTCAGGAATCAAACTGAATGCCATTGGTTTTTTTTATAGTGCAAATCGGTTCCTTAACCCTACTAAAGAAGTCCATAAGCAACCGAAGTATGGTTTGGTTAAGAGTTTCATCAGCAATCAAAACTCACAGCATTTTCAGGATGGAAAATGTAGGAAGCAGGGGAGTTGTCCACAATGATGACGTTCCTGAGCTCTCTCCCGAGCCGACTAAGGTCTTTGACATAGTTCCCTCTGTGGAAAACGCAGGATTCTCGGAAGAGTCGCGCCCGAAACACACCCCACTGGTCCAGCAGGTCAGCCACCGGGTCGGCATACTGAAGCACACACAGACACAACAGACACTTAGATGACAAGTTAAAGGTGTATTTTTCCAGTAGCTCATGCACTGATTAAACTGCAGAGTCACTGTGGAATTGTCCAGTTGCTCCCTGCAACAAATACAAATATAAAACAGAGAAAACGCAAGCTGCTAGGGCAACGTAACACTATTTCCATGACTCTATGCAAACGAAAACGTCTACAAAGAGGACTGTAAGGAAGCCTACAAAACCATAGTCAGATACGTGCTACTACAGCGAATGAGCCGCTACATCCTCAATATAACAGACATGGAAGCAACCAAGACACATGATCTAAACTACAGTGGGCCACATACAGCTAATGTGTCACTTACAGGAATGAGAAGAACAAAACAGAGACATTAGCTACAGATATGGTGACAAATGAAACTTCACAGCATATCGTAAAAGCGGCCAACCTCAAACAATGTGAGCTTTATAAAGGTGAAGGCAGCAGCGACTGCAACTACTGGTACATGGCACGCATTCTGGAAGAGTCACAGTTGCCATAGAGACACTTACCCATGCATTAGCGGCTAAAACAAACGCAGGCCACACAGAGACAGAGAGGGGGGTCAGATATTAGCAGAGCAGGTATGAATCAACACCCACCCAGCAGGGCTCTGGCAGGTATATCACAGTACTTTCTCCCTTAAATAACATTCAGACTGTTTCAGCCAGTGAGGTTGTGTGCACTATGAGAGTAATGAGATGCTGACTGCTGAGTCTTTTATCATGTTTGTTGACATTAAATGAGACGGTGTCACAGTGTGGTGGACAAACCTTGGCTAGACTGGCTGTGAAAAGCACACATTCAAACAGTTCGCCCATTTTCTGCAGGAACTCGTCAACGTGTGGCCTTTTGAGGACATACACCTACGAAGGGGAGATATTGTGAGCCATTTAAGTCCATTTGAATGATAATAAGTGCTCATAAAAGAGTTCAATAGTCGGGTTCCGGAAGTAAAAACTCATTCATTTTCTTCATAGGGAAATAGATTTTTAATGCTAACTTGGAAACCTTTTTAGACAGCCCTACTTTGAGCTTCGAGGCTCTTAATCAACGGTATACAGCTCTGTTGAAGCCGTCAGCCCACATTATTTCAACGTATTTGTAAAATTACAGTTTAACAGTGGAATTCCTGGTAAAGAACTACATTACCCATGATGCTGAAATAACCAAACCCCCCCAAAAGAGCTTTTTAGCTCCGCCTACTCCCATGAAGCACAGCGAATGACGTAATCGAGTTGGTCTCTCTATGCTCTCAAAATAATTGTATGTATATACATATTTTGCAATAAGCTTAAAAAATATTGTTTCTATATATAAAATCAACATTTTTAGTAGTTTTATATTTCTTGATCATTTTTTATTTGATTATGCTGTTCGCAATGCTTCATGGGATTGTCGTTCTGTAGTTCTTTCCCTCAGTAAAGCCATAAAGTACAATCTTGTACCTTATTTTTATCTAATTTTCAAATATTTTTTGCTTCAAATCAAAGTTGGTAACGTTATGAATTACCTCATAGCTGTTTCATGGCTTATAATGCTTTAACAAAGATTTTTTTAAATCCCTATGGGAAAAATGAATGAAAAATATACTTCCGTGACCAACACAGCTGAAAAAGTGGACGGCCACTGATGTAGGCCACTGTCTATACATGTATTATAAATGTATAATAATAATAATAATCAAATCTTTATAAAACAAGATATTACGTATATAGTACAATATTGTCATTAACAGAGCCATTTACCGGTAAGTCAATTTAAATGTTAATAAAGGTTCATAATCCATATAATAATGAAGTCTTTAACATGTAATATAATACAAAAAATAATACAATGTGATACAATTGTGATAAAGAGCAATTTAAGTAAATTAAAATACATAATGATATAATAATCTTTATGAAACAATATAATATAATATCTAATATAATGACACACAGAGCCATTTAAATTATTATTTTTAAATAGTAAATGATCTTTATAATATATAAAACCTATTATAATAATAGTCAAATATTTCTAAAATAAAAAATTATATAATATAAAAACATAATATATCCAAAAGTCATGTTCTCGTTCTTCAAAACAATGAGGAACACAAATCAAGCACAGATGATTTGCATCAGCTCCAGGACGACAAACGGCTGCCACCTAGTGCAAGTAATCATGAATAGGCCTCCCAGGACAGACAGCCTATCCTGGATTACTTGAACAAGGGAACAGCGACTCAGCCATGTTCACCACTCCATCCATTGAGGTTGACATGGACATAAAACCCGTAAATGGCTTCATAATTGCTATAGAACACACTAGAGTGTAATATGAAACCTGTGCATGTCTCCATCAATTCTGTACCTGATGCACTGTGCCATCTATCTCCACTGGGACGATGAAATCAGCATTGCTAATAGGCTATGAGAGAGAAGCAAATGCAAAACAGTGTTATGATCCAGCTTCAGATGGAGACAAATGTAGAAGTGATCCAACTAAGCCTACCCAAAATTTTATTTCACACATTTTCTGAAATACCTGAATAGCCTTTCAGGCAAATAGGCGTGAATCTTATTAAATACTCATGTTTTGTTTTGTCATGCACTGGCTCAATAAGCTTCAAATATGTTTTTATTTAATGTGGGTATTACCAGAGTTACTCGTTTTCATTTCAACCATCTACTGAACGTGTGAGCATCACTCAGGCTGTATACTTCTCTACCTTAAAAAAAAATCCATCTTTCAAAATATAGTTGATAAAGTTTTAAATATGGATATTTTTCTTACACAAACGCATCGCTTCACTTCAGAAGGCCTTTATTAACCCCCCCTGAGCCGTGTGGAGCACTTTTATCATGGATGGATGCACTTTGATGGACTTCAAAACAGAAACAGCCATTCACTGCCATTATAAAGCTTGGAAGAGCCAGGACATTTTTTAATATAACTCCGATTGTATTCGTCTGAAAGAAGAATGTCGTATACACCTAGGATGGCTTGAGGGCGAGTAAATCATGGGGTAATTTTCATTTGTGGGTGAACTATCCCTTTAAATAACTCCAAAGATCATCTTTAAAAAAAAAAAAGTTAAATGAACAAATGTGATTTTGTTCTCTTTCATGCTATGTCTTTTTTAAAATAATAAATCAAGTGAGCTTATTTGCCACTTCAACTATCTCAAAACATTATAAAGCAATAAACTAACAGCTGATAAACAAGATGACAGCAATCAGAGGTTACTGATGTGTGATAAGCTCCATTTACTTATAATTTGCATAAGTGCACTGAAAGTGCAGTGACAACAAACAGCAGAGGGCGTCTGTGCTCTTTCAATACAAACCTTTCAAGTTCCAAACATTACTAATCAGGTGTGAGGAAGGTTTGAGTTTGGCACAGCTCACACATTTGTCCTTACATGACTGAAATCAGTTGATCACAGACAACTTAACCCTGTACAGCGTTGACATGAAATAACAAAAGGTTTTGAAAAAAGCTTGTATGTGTTTTTGTCGAGTATCATATTTGATACATAAGACTTATTTTTACAGGAAAATATTAAGCTTACACTTCAAGGTATTTTCTTTTTTTAGAAGCCCAAACTGAGCAAAAACATGCAATTTATTTGCAGAATTTATTGCCAAAAGGATGAAATTATGATAGCTTGTAATGTAAATTAATGAGATCTTTAAAGGCAGTTTAACAGACTACAAACATGAAATAATGTCTTAATGTTTAAATGCTTAGTTTTATGATCAAAGCTCTGTAGTTTTAATTTTGGCAATACAATGACTGATGTAGAGACATTTTCCTCAAACCTCTGATGCATCATATTATATACTCAAATTTTAACATGATTTTGCTATAAAAAAAAAATTGCTTCATTTAAGTATGTGTATCTTGAAATATTACAAACAATAAAAACGTTCTTATGTTTGGGTTATAAAATTCATTAAAGATTTCACACCAAATAGAATTTAAAATTAAATTAATTTATTTTAAATGAAAATTAAACAAAGGCCTTTTACTTGCTAAAAAAGTATTAACTCATCAATCAGAGGAGAGAAGACATGTAGTAGATTGTGCACAACAGGTTTTCAGCAAAGTTGATCATTCAGAGGCCTTAGAATTTTGGGTATTAAATATGATACAGTATGCTTTATAGAGTTAAACATCACACTACCCCATGCCAAACTTCTGAGCTTCACAAACAGATCAAGATGATAAAAAGCTCACTATTGAGTTTCACAATCAGGGTTTCTCTTCTACTCTCCTTCTAGCAGCAGAGACAAATGAGCCCTGATTGGACCGTCACCAAGCATCACAGGAAGCTCTGCCCGCATGCATATATATCTCTGACGCAAATAGGTCACTGTGGGTCACTGTCACTGAGCAAAATACTGAGAGAAGTCAGTTTCATTGCATTTGTGACCCATTCCTGGTTGCCTTTCTCTGGGAAATACCTGACGCTGTTGAATGAGAACTGAACTGAGTTAGACGATGACATATTTTTTTGCAGATCTGCTTTATAGATGAAATTAACTAATTTAATAATTGATGATCTTTACAACGGAACTGAATCAACACTGAACTGACTTTAGATGAACAACAGCCAAAATGCATCAATTTCCTGTTATCACTGTAAAGCTGCTTTGAAACAATCTGTAGCCTATTGTATATGGGAACTGTATACCTGAAAAGGATCTGGGCTAATTTCTACAGGCAATAATTAATGAATTACCTTAAACGAGCTGTGCACCAGAGTCTCATCCAAGTCTATTACAACGCACTTCTTCCCATAGTCATTTATGTTAACCTCAGGCAGGAGGTACTTCTCTGATGGCTGTGGAAATGAAAAACAGAGAGAGTTAGCATGATGAACATGGAGCAGATTCAGCGTAATGAGTGAGAAATGAGGCACGGGAGTTTTAGCCGCGACGTGTTAGACTGTTATGAAGCAAAATGAGCAGAAAGAAGCACGATCCCCAACCATCTACACATTTCCTCTGGGAATTGTAAGGGAAACCTTCAGGCATTTTAGGAAGTGTGTTTCCTGAGCTGCACAGATGACGTGCATGCAATAACATCCCAGCTCTTTCCAAGTGGAAGTGGAAAGGATTATGGCCGTGCGTGGGGATTAAAAGGTTTTTCACACATTAATCAGAGATGCAGGATGGCTAAGGTTAGAGAGTGCAAGAGTGACTTCAACACTGGCTGTCTGTATGAAATCCCATCACTTTATTTATATGCTGCGGGTGAACGGGTCCCTCTCTTGATCCAGTTCTCAAATCCTAGCTGCACCGTCTCAATTCAAGCAGAGGCAATCTTGTTATAGAGGGAGGCAGTATGCTGTCGAGTCTATCTAATCTAAGTCCCTGTCTGTTTAATGGGATGAATCAAGCTTAGGAGGAACCGCTGGAGTGCAGTCATGATCTTGGTCCGAACTGCTGAGTGAACACAAAGACACCAGAACACTTACAGTTCGGCTGGCCGCGAGTTCCTGTTTAGTACCCAAATACAGTACAGCAAATCATCAGCAGAAGCTTCATTGGGGGATTGTGTGATCGCTACTTCTAAAATCTTATGGCAAAATCATTAAGGGACTGATCATGAGATCTGATCTTCAACAGCCTACCATTGAGATTAAGAATCTTACTAACCCCAAACTTCTGAACGGTAGTGTACGTGCAGTTAAATGTGTATGCCTTGCAAACTTAAATGTTTTGTTTTTTTGTGATGTACTCTACACTGTTCTTGTACATTCTGCCGATCTATCTCCAAGATAGATTATCTAGCTGGATAACAGAAGTCTTTTTTTGAGAATTCAACAAAATCTCATCTAAGTCCTCAAGGCATCAGTAATGTTAAATGACGAACCAAACAGTAATGTTTGGCTTCGCATGCCATAGTCAACAAAAATATCATATGAATGTATGGCGATAGCTGTACAATTTCCAGCTCGTTTCAAAAACTGTGAAAAGGAAACTAAACATTAACGAAAAATCTAATTATTTCTAGCAAATATAAAAAATGCATTGTTAAAAACAGGCCAGTGAAAATATTGGCATGGCAAGTAAAAAGTAGCTTGACTGACCAGCAGAAGAAAAACATTCAATTGGTGAAAATATTGCTCAGTATCTTTTAACAGACTAGAACACGTGAAATAAACACTTGCACTATCAAATTAGAAGTAGTCATACTCCCAATAGTATGAAAAAGCTGGAGGGGAGGGGGGGGCAACACATGTTGCTAAATGCCTTAGCCCATAATTGTGTGGAAAAACATTAAGCTTTCCAGTCGCCACAGTAGTAGTAATATACGGTGTATGAAAGCATCCATCAGGCAAAGTGTATCACTGTCCACAGAGCTGATTCGAGAGTACAGTGGTGAGACGCTCCATGCGGCATGCGAGAGCACACGGACAGACGACACGGAGTGGAGTGGAGTCATACATACACTGGGGATAGGGATGACCTCAACCTGGTCACACTGGGACATGAGATGAAGACAGAGGAAACAAACAGGAGAGGAAATGAGGTGCTGAACCACAAGACAAATGGACTATAATTAAGACACATGTGATACAGTCTGCACAGAAAAAAAAGAAAGAGAGTTGTGATGACTTCTATTTAACATGAGGAAAACACACATGACGGCGAGAGTCTCTGGATCAATACGCATCTGATCTTCTGTAATCGCTCCCGTTATAAAGAGGATGTGTGGGCAGTCTCACCTTTGGTGGAGCTCCGTTCTCCTCCACAGGTGGCGGCAGAGGACTGCTGTTGTTGTTGGGGGTGGTGGGCGGCTCGGCATCGTAACTCCTCAGGCAGCAGAACAACGAGCTGAAGATGCTGCGAGTCCTCTTCTTCTTCAGGCTGCTGTTAGACAGTGAAACTACAAAAAGAACAGACAGAGACAACATAGGTTTAAAACAAATGACTACAATAATAATTTACCAAGGATGCATGATATTTTTAGTGACATTACATATGCTCAGCTACAGATATATAACCCTATATACAGCTAGTATTCAAAAGTTTGGGGTCAGAAAGGAAGAATTCTCACCAAGCTCTCCAAAGCTGGATTGATTAAAAATACAGTCAAAAGTAATATTGTGAAATTTGATTACATTTTAAAATAACTGTTTTCAGTTTAAATATATTTTAAAATCTTTATACGTTTTACAATTTATTCCTGTGATGGCAATGCTGAATTTGCAGCAGCAGAAAAAATGTCACATTTCAAAATTCTTTGATGAATAAAAAGTAAAAAAGCAAAAAAAACACAAAAAAAACAGCATTTATTAGAAATAGAAACCTTTTGTAACATTTTTAAGCTCTTTACTTTCACTTTTGATGAAATCAAAATTTAATGCATCAAGTATTAATTATCATAAAAAAGAAAAAAACAATTACTGACCGCAAACTTTTGAACATTGATTTGTATGTATTTGTATGTAAACAGGCCAAGTTTTTATTTATAACTCTAAAACTTACTTCTACATAATAATACATACTTGTGGCTATATACATTTAATAAAGATAAATGGCCTATACAGAACGGTCAGAAGTTAAAGGTGGGGTATGTGATTTTCTTTTTTGACCATTTTTTCAAAATCACTTGAAATCCTATTCCTAACCCACTTACAGCCACTGAGTTAGAAGCACTGAAATGAAAATTAGGCAATTTAATCATCTGTGGAACGGGCAGGACTCGAAAAACTCCAGCCAATCATTTCCAAGACCACCTAGAATCATTGGACAGTAAGTGCGTCAATCAAGCGGTCTACCATACCCCCCTCCCCTTCGTGCGCATACTCAAAGCTCGTGAGTCATGACCCAGTCACGGTAAGTGCAAGTCGTCCCGGTACAGAGAGAGAGAGTTTTGCAGATGCATCCATGTTCCATGTCCATGTTGGAACATGCGTCCATGTTCTTCGAATGGGTGGAGTCACTACATTTAAATAAATTAGAGTTTTAATTTTTACGGGTTACATTGATTCATTTCAGTCAGTAAAGCGTATCCACTTTTCCTACACCCCATGATCTTTTGCCTGAATTATGGGAGTAACTGCCGTTAAACTGACCAATCAGCGAAAGGTTCGCTCTATGAACAAATGGCATTTTCAAAACTGGGTGCAATGAGATGACATTATTCTACTCACCCTGCAACCATCAAACATTATATCAATTGCCCTCTGAGAATTGTCATTTAATATTGTTTGTTCAATACCTATTTTGTCTGTAAAATTGAATTTCAATAAAAAAATAAAAAATAAAATAACATTATATTAAAAGAACATTTTAAAGTGTAAAAGCATAAACAAATTAATACCATACAGACCATGAATAACCCCTAATTATTTTCGCAGCAATATTATGGACGTGTTAAACATCACTGTAGTAATATATGTCTGTATAATGCAACACATTGCCTTAATCAAAATTGTTCATTAACTGGAAGTTGGAACATTAAGTAATAATACAGTGATTTCCATCATTGTGACAGACAATAATAATAATTATATCTATCTGCTTTAGAAACATTCGAGTAAACACTGGTTATAGGGATTACAAGGGGAGACAATTACACTTTAAAGCATCTGTGTGAAAACAAACCTGGAAAAAGAGAAAAACAAGAGATTCTCAGTGAATTCCAGTGAATTATTCTAGGGATATAACGTTAATTAAATTGGGAGAGCAGCAGACCACAAATGCGCAGTACATGTTGTCCTTTTTAATACGGTTACAGTGGAATACAAAGGAAAAAAATATATATATTAATGAGGAAAAGAATGCAGCGACTGAAAAGAGCTCTTGCCATAGATATTCTTTTCATACCACGTCACATTAAAATACCAAGCGTTATGTTTTTCTGTTGAAGTCTGAACACGAAGAAAATTTTAGAGCTCATTCAGTCAAACTGAGGGGAAAAAAAATTTGTGTTTTTTTTTACGTTGAACTTCCCCAAACCGGAAGTGCCACCCATAAACTAAAATGAAATAGGCTCGTTAGGAAAAAGGTGGATGATACATGGCATATAAGTTCAATAACACTCATTTGGGACACTTGGTGGTGGGAATGCCTGAACACCCTTTAGGGAAATGGCTTTCTCCCAGTCAGGATTTCACATGATGGCATCTTTAATTAAAAGTCCAGACTATTACAAATGATTAAGGACAGGCTTTACACCAATACACTGCACAAAATTAAGGGACGTCAAAGACCCTCGCAGTTCTCCTCTCCTCATTCACACACACACACACTAATAATAATCTTCCTTCATTCCAGCGCCACAGCGGAGGCTCTGAATGTGAACACTGAGGTCACCGGCAACTAAAGGCCCTTTAAAAATAGTGACAAGCAGAAAAAAAAAAAGTGAAACTAGACCCCACTCACTTACAAACCCCACCCCGTCCCCTTTAGGCTCCTAAACCCTAGTCCCTCCACTCATTGGCTGCCGCCTCCAGCACCATTTTAAGGGACAGAGGCTATTTTCCCTCGTTCCTGAAGCTTCACTGATGACTTCAGAGGCACAGATGAGGGGGAATATTTGAGGGAGAGAGGGAAGAAGAGAGGAGGGCAGCAGCAGCAGAGGCGGGGCTAAGAAAACAACCAGCCAATGAGAACCGTGCATTCCTCTCCCGCCCCTTTAGCCACCATCTCAAAGGTTCAGCTGCTGAACATCTCAAGCTTTTCACCGCAAAATACAAGAACCTATGCAATACATTACACTAATATTTTTTAATTCAATTAAAAGATTCTGCTGATTTTTACAGCAACAGGACTGAGCTTATTAAAAGACAGCACTTTAAGTAGACTTTCAATAGTTTTGATTAAGAAAGCAGCTTCCAATAATGCATGGCAGTTCTAGGATTATTTTTCATAAGTGGGAGGACAACAGCTTGTCTTCACTCAGGAATATTAGAGGAAGTGTCAGAAAGCATAATCAGCATCATGGTAAGAAGAGGTGTAAAAAACACATGATATTTAGGTCAACTGGGTAGCCCGTCACAATGAGAGTGTCTTTGCAATGCCACAACACAAAAAAATCATAACTGTCCATCTGTCTGTAAGCTTACTTTTATTTAAAGGCCTTTACCACACATAAAGAGCAAAAATATGACTGCAAAAACATCCAATGAACAAAGTTATATATGGTAAACTATTTCCATAATGCACTCCAAACAAGTAAAAGAATAAAATGCAGTAAAGTACAGGACGTTTTACATAATTGTGGGCAGAATGCAAAAAAGATCCCTGTCAGGCAACGGGCCAGAGACATTGATCACTGCGGCAGACTATCAGATGCCATCAGAGCTCAAGCAGCTGCCTTTAAAAAAAAATCCAGTAATTACTACTGACTTTAATTACTTCTGGCTTAATACTAATCTACATGTTGGAAAGACTCATTAATGGCTTTGAAGAGGGAACTCTGGTCTGGTCAACTTTATTCTGTGCTGTTTTGAGAGGGCAGCTGTTGAAGAGCTTCTCCACTCAGCCACCCAGAGGTCAAAGGTAAAGCTCTGGAAGTGCTCCATCCAAATGCCTCCTATCACAGAGCCGGACATCCTCAGATGAGCAGCCCTGCAAAACTGTAACATGTATTTTATTTAGGGATATTCCCCCCCCCCCCCGAAATGAAATCTGAGAGTTTACTCTCCATTGACAGCTAAGCAAGTTAAGCAACTACCACTTTGACGCTTCAAAAAGTTCATAAAGAGATCGTAAAACTAGTCCATATGAATTGAGCGGTTTAGTCCAAATTTCCTTAAGAGACATGATTGCTTTATATGATGAACAGTTTAAATTTAGGCTTTTATACACATATAAACATTCATAAACATACATCAGTTGTGGTATATTCAATCTGCTCATCATATGAAGCGATCAAGTAGTCTCTTCAGAAAATTTGGAATAAACCGCTCAACTCATATGGATTAGTTTTACGATCTCTTTATGAACTTTTTGAAGCGTCAAAGTGGTAGTTGCTTAGCTGTCAATGGAGGGACAGAAAGCTCTCAGATTTCATCAAAGAGATCTTCAATACAGTAGAGTTTGTTCTTGTAACTTAAATGTGTCGACAAAAAACAAACCTAGCTTTATCCAATGTTCCGATTTCTTTTCTGGAATTTCTTTAATAACGCCTAATTTGCATATTTAAACAACATTTCAGAAAACTCGTGCAAAACAGTTGTCTTATGTAGGCCTACTGTACTTAATCTATTATGTTTGATGATGCTGGGTTTAATCAACAAGTTATTATATTCATCAGTGGTGTCTTACCTTAAAAACTAAAAATGTGCTTTTTGGCACATACAATTTATTCGCATCCAGACCTACACAGCGCCATCACAAAACTGACTTGCCTGTTTTGTAAAATAAAATTATAGGCAACTAAATAACATATCTAGCCTACTTAACAATTCCTGCTGCTGACCTGACTGAAAGAACAACAAGTCAAAAGTCCACCGCTTCTTAAATAAAACATGTGCCCTTTAAAGCACTCAACTTATGCAAGTCTTGCCCCGTGACAGAAAGAAACATGTTTACGTTGGTCTCCATCCACATCACGGGCGACCAACGCTTACAGAGGCAAAACTTTCGCTCTTTAGCAGTTTACATTGCGCCTTTACGACGATTCAAATATATAAACACACTCGGTGATTGTTCTACATCAAATGTAACACGTTGTCATATGAAAGCATTCATATAAAACAAATTTTTTTTAAACTAAATCATCGTTTAAGTTGGACTAAACAGGAATGAAATGAATACTGTCCGCGAACGCAGGCTCGCAGCCCGCTCGTTTAAAATGGTGGGTAAAGCTAACAAAACGCACAACGGCGACCAACTTCAACGCACAAAAACACCTCTCACCTTTCTCAGCATTTGACGAGAGTATCTCCTCCTCCTTGGGGTTCGTAACCTGCGTTATTATGGACGTGTTGTCCATGGAAACGAGATGTTAGCTCCTCTTTCCAGCGAGTTCTGGCCGTGCCCGTGTTTCAGGTTGTGCTAACAGCTAGTCGAGTTAATGGCAGATCTCCAGCCAGCCAGCAGACTGCTGTCGCTCAGGCTAGCGTGGGCGAACGGACTGCACCCGACCACTAATCTTTGCGTTTTGTTGCATTAAAATACGCGTCGCGGACAGACATTTGATCAATCAGCCCGTGCGGATGCGCATTACAAAAATCAACTGCGCCAGCGCCGAATGGCTAACAAGTAATTGGAGGCTGGATTGCTAAAATAAGATAGCGTTAGCGAGCTGACCATGAAACCTCCGATTCTGGCCTGGATAAATGACCCGCGCGATGTCTAAACGCTCGCGTTTAAACTCCTGGAGCTATAGCGGAGAACGCCGCGACATCTGTGCGCTTAAGCGAGCGTCAAAAACTGCCACTTCATGTTTTCCCGTGTTTTCTGATCTCTGCTTCCAATATGGAGACGGCGTGTGTTTGATGTTCACGAGATAGAGCTGAGGAACAGCAGGAGGAGGTATTTTCTGGGAACCCCCTCCCTCATATTAAAAATAAAAGCACGGCCGGGGAGCGCGCAATCCGCCCAATGACAGGACAGGAGTCCTCACAAAGTCGACTGATCAACACTGACTCAACTATGGACCTTACACTAAAAAACAAACGAAGTCCAAATAAAACACACGAACAATTGGTCAGGTTGTGCTTCGTGATCCTTAGAATGAAGAATAAGAGTGATATTTAGAGAAGTAGGCTATATAGCTCACAATAATGATTGTTTTGATTTCTTCCTATTGTTGTTTAATATGTATTGAGCAGCTTCAATATGCAATCTGTCATTTACAGTAAAGAAATGGATATAGAATGTAAATTGGCATCACCCTGTACAACAAATATTGTAAAACAGTAAAACAAATTGTGCCTGTATTATGAAGTGGGAAACAGACCATAGGCCTATATTTTTGACTGTAAGGTTTAAATAAAGGGCTTGCCTTTCCCTGTGCGCAGTCAATTTCCATCGCATGTCTCCCTCTGCTGCTCAACATTATTGTTGCACGTTGTAATATAGCCTACCGCTAACATCTTTTTCTGCCCCTTTCAAAGTTTTTATTTCGAGTGTATCCAAATGTTGTCAATTATGTAAAAAAATTCAAATAAAATAAAAAACATGAGCAACAACAAACAATCTGGTCTTTATTTAATATTAACACCCACATTACCACAAATAAATGAAATTGTTAACCATTTCCATGTTAACCAATGCATTTTGTTTTGAATTATAGCTATAGGCTATTGCTTTTTTATAATATTTAAGCCTATAAACCGATTAACCTGTACGTAATATATATATATATATATATATATATAATTTTATTTTATTTATTATTTATTAATTTTTTACCTATCTTAGTGTCTTGTATAGCTGGTGCAACTATACAAAATAGCCTGTCTTTATTGCTAAGTTTCTTCTGCATGCTTGTCACTTTGGGGTTGTAATCAGAGCAGCCTGTTTAAAAATGAGCAAATTGAATGTAGTAGAAACAGAAGTATTCCGATGAATGCGTGATTGTTGTAACCTTTTTGACTTTCTAATAGTCTACACTCTAAACAATGCTGGGTTGTTTAACCCAAATTTGGGTCAAATATGGACAAACCCAAATGTTGGGTTAAAAATGTAATTAACATTTTTAACCCAACTTAAGCTTCCACTTTCAACTGTACATTTTTTAATTGTATTTTTAACCCAACATTTGGGTTTGTCCATATTTGACCCAAATTTGGGTTGAAACAACCCAGCATTTTTTAGAGTGTATTGTAATTCAGGTTTCTTATAAGGCAAGTTGCAAAGTTTTTATTGAATCAATGCGTCATATACAGTGCGTAGCGCAAATCTGCGGGGCCCCCTCGTTTGGGGTCACTAAAATCCCTCACTTTACCCTCGCCCTCATTGATTTGAGCCCCGTCACTGTCACTGAGGAAAATGTAGCCTATAGTCTAATCGTTTAAAGGCTATAGATAATAACAAAGGGTGCATTGCAGATTCAATAGATTATTGATTTATTTTTATGCATTAGCCCAGTTGGAAAAATAGACTAGCCCTAATACCAAAGTTATGTCATGAAGTGAGTGATGGTTCACTGGATGAGCTCTCGGGACTGCTTTGCGACAGCATCCCACGGACCAGAACATAGCAAAGGAATTTCTCCAACCGGCCATCACTTGTATCATTTAGCGCTTCTTCAATTTGTGCGCCTTTTTGATGGACAGTTGGTGCCACCCCTCGGCGGTTCCACTCCGGATTATAAATACACTCTCTACACCCCCTCCCGCAACATCCACACCAGCTACTGCTGCCTCTCACAGTGCACCATCGGCACTGGGAAACCGGGACGGATGTATTAGGAGAAGCCCCTACTCACCCCCCTTTTCTTTTCTTTTTTTCTCCCTAATTTTGTGGGGGTTGACATCTGTCTTCAAACATCTGAACGGCTGTGAAAGGCAGATACGAGGTTAGTACTGACTGAGCAAGTGCACTTCTGTACGTGTACACGGTGTTGCAAACAGACAGAGTCCCACGGACCATAAGTGAGGCGGCGTGTGGGCGTTTGGAGGTTGGTGGGGTGCAGCATCATACATCTAAAAGCACTTTGGATTTGCGTATTAATTAGTCGAAACAAATAGGCTACTCTGATTTTAATTGAACAGGTGCACGCAAGCCTTCGTAATTAATGAAATGTTAAGATCAAGGAAAGTGAGTGGCCAGAGCGCTCGTCCTTGGTTTCTCATGCTCCTGAAGGATCTCCTGATGTGTGGGAGATCGCATTGCGCTGCAGCTGCCGCACTGTACTATGAGCAACTGCTCAGGCTAAAATAGGAAGAGGTTGTATGGCGCGGCGCAGCTGACTGTGCTGTTTCTGAGGAGCCGTGAAAACAGGCACTCCCATTTAAGTCACTGGCTAGTCTTGTCTTCTGAGAATTAGTCTGGGTGTCAACTAAGTGCCAATGTTTTTGTTGTTTAATTTGTTTTAGTTTAGTTATTGAAGACGGAGACATATTATAGCCCATCGTTTTGGTGTTAACGTAACGCAATGCGTAAAATAATATGCATAAGCTATATTCTTGATGAGCATTGTGTGTGTGTATGCTACTTTTACTAATAATTATGGTAATGGTGTCTTTTTTCCTGCAAAATATCAGCTTTTACTTTTACTGTTGGCACTTGGCAGAGGTTGCTGCCTTACATTTTTAAGTTCAATCAACTTGGATGTTTAAGTCATTTTAACTTAAAATACATTAAACTGACTTAATAAAATAGTTGAAAATTCCTTAACTTGTTTTGATGAGATAAAACAATATAAAAATGTTATCATCATATTGTTTTTTTTTTTAAAGTGAGACTTTGCAGTGTAGTTTACAGCAGACAGTAACAAACATTATTATGTAGTTATTGCACGGTAACGAATGAACTATGAAAGTGCTGGAACGAGCGCAAATAAATTAGGCTATATTAACACTTATAGGCTAAGTGTGAGTATAAATAACACTTGTATAAAAGGTTCGTATGAGATAGGCCTACAAGTTAATAAGGTTTTGTTGTACCATTTAAACTAATGTATTTTGAAGCATTGCAAATCACCACTCCTTTATAAATTGGATTTTGAAAACTAGTTCTGCAAGTAAAACTTGATTAAGGGTGCAAACCCGAATGTCGTGTTTCTTGACAACGTCACTGTTGAACGGGAATTATAATCAGCACAATTATAAAATAAAATAAAATAAAAAGTAAATTAAAAAATATGTATGCTATTTTGAATTCTAGCACTTTATTATATTTATCTTATGATGAATTGTAAAACTTTTTTTTACTCCAACTGCAAATTTGTCACCTCATTAATATTAATAGAAACGTCACAAAAAATCTCCTGTGACTGGACAAATAATTACCCGCTGATATCATTAGGTGAAAATATCCCCGCCTTCCATTGCTTTACAGTAGAACCAAAGTGTTTTTATTTTCTTTCAGTTTTAGAGCTCAACTTTCGCACTAAACTCAAATATACTTTTCTATATACGAAAAGTATTGAAATAGTGTCCTTTTGACCTGGTTGTAAAATACCTGGAAAGAAGGGAAGGATCGGTGGATATCTGAGGAGTGTGAGTGACGTTTGACCCTCAACGGCCGTTAGTGAGTAAGAAAGCGGAGCTAATAAAAATATTGTATAATACGAACAAATAATAAAATACAAAAGAAATACGATTCGACATCATAATTAATCATTGGTTTCTGAACATTTAACATGACAAACAATAAAAACAACCTTAAACTTAGTTAGGGGTAGTGTGTAACGGTAAGATTTACCTTTTAACGTTACCTTGTAAGATCATTTTCATGTGAGTGTAAGTTAACGTTAGCTTAAGTTTTTTGGATTCTAATGTTAAGACTTCTCTTCAGGTTAACCATGGGGATCAAGGCAGCCCTTCCCAAGATTGAGCTGTACATGTACACTGCTGTCCTCTCTCTTGCACTCTTATGGGCAGGCAGCTGGATCATTGAGGCCTCCAGTGGTACACTTTATTTTTATCTCTTGCTTTTTCTTTCTACATTAAGGACACATAATTATATTCATGTCTATCATGGATGCCCTAGAACACGATGAATAAAAGTGCATTTTCTCTTGTTCATTGTAAATTAGAGCACTATAGATATAGTGTTATTGTTTGTGTGTGGGCAGATTGTTTTGCTTATTGGCATCCATGCTGGTCCTGGAGCAAACCAGCCATGTACTGTCCATACTACATATTACATACATATTGATTATGCCTAATTATTGGCACATAATCATCATTTTAGACTTAATCATTTAGTTATTTCTTCTAAATTAAGTCCTACATTGAAACCCTCAACAACCCTTGACTTTTAAATAAGATCTGTTATGCAATTTGTATTATCTTTGTAATTCACGTTACAAAGATTTTTCAGATTTCACAGGACCATCATCTCATAATCTCAAAATATATATGAGAGTCTGGATTATCACAGAGAGCCTCTGAATATGCAGGCTGGCATTTTATTTATTTATTTTTTACCTTATGTAATGCTATTAGGTTTTGCTCTGGAGGCTGGAGCTCACCCTATTTGCTGTTGAATCATGTGAATCTAACGTTCATTTTATCCATTTCTATAACACATGGAATGCATGGTTAGCTGTCTGCAAAGACTACATGCATACACAATAAATATTATAATTTTATAGCAATGAAACAAATTTTAACGTCCTTCTTGATTTAAAATGTAAAAGAAACATGACGTGGTCAGGTGGCAAGTTTTATTATTTAGCCTGAAATGCACCTTGCTGCTTTTGTGAATCTTTTCTCTTTTACTTCCAGAGCATGTAAACAGAAGGGCATTTAGGGAGAATGTGAAACCAGGATGGCACTACTTTGGCCGAAAAATGGCAAGGGTCATATCACGATGTTATTACATAAATGACTCGTATTTAATCATTTCTGTGACTGATATCCTCTATCTCTTCAGGATGCGTCAGATTTTGAATGGGTTATGTGGTTTACCACTTTCCGCAACCATATCCTTTTTGCCCTCTCTGGTCATGTGATCTTTGCTAAGATCTGCTCGATGTTGTCTCCAAAGGTACTGTATAGTTTATGCATCCTGTGCACAATGATCAGGTCATTTACAATGACTTAAGAGTAATACTATTTGTTGTGCTATTTTTTGTGGGTGTTTTGTGAATGTTGCATGATTTTTTATGCCAACAACTGTTAACCAATGTTATAGTGAAAAAAAGCATTTTGATATTGACAATGCATGTGTGAAACGATCTAATCTGAATGTTGTGTGAAATGTTACATGTATTTCGTCTGCTGTCAAAGAAGACTGGTATAGATGCATTCAAGGTAACTCTTTCTTTGATCATACTAATTGACCAACTAATATTAGTGCTGCTACAACTCAAGCGAATTCTGGACTAAATTGTAATTTCTAACACTTAGAAACAGTAGGGACTTAAAAGTCCTTTAAAACCCCATTCAATAATGTTGCATGTGACAGCTGGATTACATGAATGTGTTTTTTCACTAGAAATTTTCTTCCTAACCCACAGAACAGATCTTTGATCTATATGGTGTATGGATCTCTAGCTGTCCTGATTACTATGGGATGGACATACATCTCTCTCGTCCTGTCACACTGCATCATCCTCTACAGTGTTTCCCTCGTCAAGAGGAAGTGGCTTTGCTTTGTGGCTGGACTTACCAGCCTGGCAACATTTAAGATGGAGCCCTTTAACAGTTGGCAGGTGAGAAAGTCCTTAGTTATTGTATCATCGTTTATAATGCCTCTCACGGTGCATTCACATTGGGGGTCGGCATTAACGCTTCTCATTTACTTTGAATGGGTGACGTCATGCGTTGCCTAACTAAAATGTGGGTTTCGTTGTGCCACGTCACTGGCGTTGCTCGCGGGAACTTTTCAAGCACCAACGCAGGCATCAGCCAATCAGATCGCCTATGCAAATACCCTAGCGCAGACGCTAGCCAATTGCGTTCATGCAACACCAGAAAAGTAATGTGATGGCACTATGACGGTCTCGTCAGCACCAAGCTTCAGACACGCCCTTCGTCATGCGTTGACATCGATGCTTTGTGTGAATGCAGCGTTATAAAATGTTTTCCCCCACAGTCTAACCAAAAAACTAAGTCAAATGGAGAATAGATGTAAATGGATGCAATTCAGGCGTCTACATCAGCATGTGAAAAACCATTTAGTTGATGTTCTGATGATGTTTTAATGCAGGAAGGCTTTGGGACTGGCTCCTTTGGTCTGCAAGACGTCTTGTTCTACGGAGGCTGCGGCTTCTCCATTATGCGCTGTATGAGCTTTGCTCTAGAGAACTGTGAGAAGAAAGACGGTAACTACAGTTTCTTGGATCTGATCAAGTACAACTTCTACCTCCCCTTCTTCTTCTTTGGACCTGTCATGACCTTTGATCGTTTCCATGAGCAGGTGAGTCCTGTACAACAAGAATCCGATACCGTCTAAACATTGTTCTCAAGAAAAACACAATTTTAAAGGTCCAGTCTTTAAAATCGTGTTTATAAAACACAATCTATATAATAGAATACATAAATGTAATTGTGTTGATAATGTCACTCTGGTTAAGTATGCATTATAATGATCCCTCTGATATTCTCAGGCTAACAACCCTAACTTGACTCGTAAAGAAAGAGAGATGTGGAACATCACCATTCATGCTTTGGTGCACCTTGGGGCTATTTTGGTGGTGGATGTCTTCTTCCATTTTCTTTACATTTTGACCATCCCTAATGATTTGAAGCTTATGAAGCAACTGTCTGACTGGTCCCTGGGTCAGTTTGATAAAATGATTTCATTTTAGTAAATAGTTAGAAAGCACAGTGGATGTTTAGAAATGATGTTACAAGTAGTTTTCTAATTATTTGTAAGTAAAAATTCATTTGTTCACTCACTACAATATTGATTGTATTGCTTTTCAGCTGGTTTGGCATACTCTAATCTGGTGTATGACTGGGTGAAAGCAGCCGTCATGTTTGGTGTCATCAACACGGTATCCAGACTGGACCATCTTGACCCCCCTCAGCCTCCTAAATGCATCACTATGCTCTATGTCTTCTCTGAAACGTAAGTATTGTCATTACCAGAAGAGAAATGGAGCATGTTTTTGGGTCTGTGTAACCAGATCACGTTAACAGTTTCTCCTGACATTGACTTTTCAGACACTTTGACAGAGGAATCAATGACTGGCTATGCAAGTGAGCAAATAATCAATCCCATGTGTATCATCACATGTATAATTTTAATATCACTATATCAATCATATACTCAGGAAAAACATTCTTCACAACATACAGTATATCTCCCGTTCTTTGTTAAAGATATGTCTATGACTATATCGGAGAAAACCATGATGCTATCTTCAAGGAGCTTCTTGCAACCATCTGCACCTTTGCTGTCACAACTCTGTGGCTCGGACCCTGTGAGCTGGTTTACATCTGGTCTTTCTTTAACTGCTTTGGCCTAAACTTTGAACTGTGGGTGGCTAAGCTCTTTTCTCTGCCACCGTTTTCCACCATTGAGGTAAGATCCCAAAGACATCCACTGAACAAATACATTGTAATTCAGCCTGATGGATTTGAGCATTTGGGTTTTCAATCATTACACTACCAAATGATTCTCTTTGAATATTACATCATGACCGAATAGCCTTGCATTTCACTGATATGAAAATAACAGCATTTGCTTACTCTGAGTTCAGCCAGAATGTAATATTAATATTTTTCCAGCGGAATCTTATGTCTGAGGCGATGTCACGTCGAATCAGGGGCTTGTTCAACGCTGTTAACTTCTGGCAGATTATCCTGTACAACGTCCTGGCGCTAAACAGTCTGGATTTTGCTCAGCTGGTTGCTAAAAGACTGCTTCTTAAAGGTAATTTTTTTGTTTTAGGTCATTATATAATGAAAAATAAAACAAAAGTAGCTAGAATCTTGTGTAGAATGTGTTAAACATTTCTTACATATGTAAATCACTTATATGTGATTTTTCTATATGTAAAAATGTTAAAACAATGTATCAGCACAAAAATTCTTGAGGAATGGAAAAAACAGCATGTACATGGAGAGTGATAGGACTCTTGTGATTCCCTCAGGCTTCCCCTTTTCCACTCTCTCGGTGCTGTTAGTGACTTACTGTGGCGTGCAGCTGATCAAGGAGAGAGAGCGAAAGCAGGCGCTACTGGATGATCCGGAACCAGTGCCGCCCCCAGAGACGGGCAAACAGAAGGCCGAGTAAAGGACAGAGAGGTCATTGAATCCGATCCAGCTCTTGAGGTCCTTCTTGTTAATTCTACCCCTGAGCTTTCATGCCAGACCGATGCAGTCCCATCACTATGGTCACTGCTTTGCACAAGTCTGTTTTAAAAACACAAGATGTTCTTAACTGTGAATAGTTCTGAAGTGCACTTGCTGTAGCCAGATGCAACTTGTCTTTCGACATAATCTCGCACAGACAAACCAAGAAGTGCATTTTTTATTTATATTTTCAGTGGATATAGCATTTTAAAGGAAGGGCTTGCCAAATATTTTATGAATAAATAATATATTGAACAATAAAAAGAAAATTTACAATGTTTTCAGTGCTGTCTTTTGTTTCAGTCTTTCTTAATATTTTTAACATGTTTACAGCCATGTTATTTTAGTATTATTGAAATATTATTAAAGTTTTTATTATATCTTCTGTTTTAATTTTAAAGTTATGTGTTAACTAAAGCTAAGTTAGTTATGTGCGTTTAGTCATTTTTTATTTGTTTTTTAATGTCAATATAGTTTTTATTTATTTTTGTTTTAGTTATTTCAGTACATTAAGATAAACCAATTTAAATGAGAAATGTTGGTGCATGTCTTGGTAACTTGCTGAAATAAAATAAGTTTTTTTATATTTATATTTTTTTATTTCAGTTAACATTTTATTTCAAGTACTATTTGTTATGGTTTTAATTTTAGTTTTAGATTACTATAATAACCCTGGTTTACAGCCATTATTATGACACAAAACATACATGTTAACATGTAAATAGTCACCATTGGGCATTTCAACCACACAGAGCTTAGTCACTTTTCAAAGTTAAACTTTGTGCAATCACATTTTTATGTTACTCGTGTCACACTCCAGCAGATGATACAGTGTGAACACATTCCCCTATTAGGCTTTGTCCTACATGGAGCTTTGAGTGGCACACAGGAGGTTTGAGTTGATTAAGGGGTCTAAATATACACTGATGAATACTGTAGGTCTGCTATGCTGTTATCAGCACACAATTACATATCCTAGTTTTCAGTCTCCCTTTGGACCTCCCTTTTGTCACCTTACATGGGTTATTAGCACAGAATTAACCTTTCGCTTGTCTTCATATACACTATTAAAAATAAATGTTCTTTATTGGCATCTAAAGGTTCTCTAGTCTAGATTATTTCAAATGTTTTTCACAAAAAGTTGTTCTATGGGAATCCAAAAATGGTTCATCACCGTGAAAACACCCTTTTGACACTTATTTTTTAACTGTATACCTTCTGAAAATATTATAACTTCAAATTAAATATCTATATAAAAATGACCAGAAAATGCGAAAGGGCGAAACGGTAAACAAGCTAAGGCCTAGTGCTCAAATATTAATCATATTAAGCCATGGCACTCTTGTCACTTGCCATTCCTGTTCTCCCAGCTATTTCCACTTCTTTCCATATGAAAAAAACACATTAATAACTTAATAAATTCTGTTGGAACTATGACAGATAAACAAAGTGCTATTGTGCTCATAAGGACCCAGGTTCAAGTATAGCCTGGGACATGTCCTGTTCCCCCCCCCCCCTCTCTCTCTCTCTCTCTCTCTCTCTCTCTCTCTCTCTCTCTCTCTCTCTCTCTCTCTCTCTCTCTCTCTCTCTCTCTCTCTCTCTCTCTCTCTCTCTCTCTCTCTCTCTCCATGTTATTTCCAGTCACTTCTCTACTGTTCTGTAAAAATAATAAAACCAATTATAAATGTTACAAATTTAAAAATTTGGCATTGCTAGTTTCTCTGAATTGATGCTATAGGATGCAGGAGCCGATCGTGAGGACCTCCACTAGAGGGCTCCACCAGGTCGACATTATCTCTCAAAGCAACAGGCAGGCAAACTTCTGTTCGTCTCCTTTCAAATCTGGTCTGATTTCCATCTTTTGTTTCTCTCTGTAACTCTTCAAACTCTTCAATTTTCAAGTTGGCCACATTTCACAGTAACATTACATTTTCACATCTTCCTGTCCTTTTGCATAAGATCTACAACTCAGTCAGTAGTCCCAGTGAGCAGCATGTCAGCTGTTGGCATGATCTGTTTGGCGGGGGAAGGGAGGGGCAGGTTGAATTTCAGGCCCTAAGTGTGGTTCATTTGCACATTTCTATATATAGATGGACAGACAGTAGCTGATAACTTGTGACAGCTGAGGAAGGAGGCCACACCAAAGAGGCACATCCTCCGCCATTTCTCATTTAGAGTAACGGTGTTAATACAGTCAGTTCAGTTCTGCAGTGGGAGAGGACTAGGACACCCCTCCCTTCTACTGAAATCACATCAAACCATAACAAGATGGCCTCCATGTCAGTGGACCCAGTGACAGAGCCGCGGATGTACCAGCAAACGCTCCTACAAGATGGGCTCTGTGATCTCCTAGATGCTAACAAGTTTGTGGACTGTGTTCTGAAGATCAGAGACAAAGAGTTTCCTTGCCATCGGCTAGTGCTAGCCGCTAGCAGCCCTTACTTCAAAGCTATGTTCCTGTCAGACCTAGAAGAGAGCAAAAAGCGGGAGATTGTTCTAAAAGACATCGAACCTGGGATCATGGGAATGATCCTGAGGTACATGTACACCTCGGATATCAACCTGACTGAGCAGAATGTCCAAGACATTTTTATGGCGGCCAACATGTACCAGATTCCGTCAATCTTCAGCGTGTGTGTGTCGTATCTGCAGCAGAAGCTTGTTCTCAGTAACTGTCTGGCCATCTTTAGACTGGGACTGTTGCTGGACTGTCCACGTTTGGCCATGGAGGCACGGGACTTCATCTGCGACCGGTATCCCCTCATCATTCGGGACCAAGACTTCCATCAGCTGGGTCCCAGTGAGTTGGCGGCTATCATCACATGTGACTCCCTGAATGTTGAACGAGAAGAGGCAGTGTTTGAATCTCTCATGGACTGGGTGGAGTATGACACGAGTGAGAGACTGAAAGACCTGCCAGAACTTCTACACTGTGTACGTTTCCGTCTTATGTCGACAAGTTACTTTAAAGAGAAAGTCGAGGGGCACAAATTGATCGGGATGGATCAGGAGCTCAAGAAGGAGCTCCAGCTTATCAAGGATGCACAGAAAGGACTGCTACATAGGGTCAAAAGGTCATCGCACAGGAAGGAAGGCGAGGCGGCGGATTCTGAAGATGAGGATGACGAGGGTTTGCTGCCGGGGATCCTAAATGACAACCCACGTTTTGGAATGTTTCAAACAGACCTTATATTGATGATTAGCGATGCAGGAACAGTGGCGTATGACATTGGTGCAAACGAGTGCTATATGGCGTCTTCATCCACCGAGATCCCTAAGAACCACTGCAGTCTTGTCACGAAGGAAAACCAGATCTTCGTCGCTGGAGGTCTGATGTACAACGAGGAGAACAAAGAACAGCCGTTCAGTTCGTACTTTCTTCAGGTAACACACAGGCATGTTTTGCGAATGTTGCTTAATGAATTTGCATTACAAATCAATGACTCAAAGCATCACTTTCCAAAAATACATTTGTGAGAATGACCCTTAGGGTCTATTTTGCTTCAGAACAGCTGTTAAAGCTTTGAACCTCATGTGTCATGTTTTTAATAATGCCTGCATGACACATTTTCCTCACGTTTTTCCAATGAAACCTGTTAAGGGATTGTGTTGAAGGAATCAAACAATTATATCAGTATGAGAAAGGAACAGTGCTTTTGGATTATTATCTTTCAATCTGAGCTCTTGTTTACCCCACAGTTTGATCCCATGAGCTCTGAATGGCTGGGGATGCCCTCACTACCAAACCCTCGCTGTCTGTTCGGTCTGGCTGAGGCTGAGAACTCCATCTATCTGGTGGGAGGAAAAGAGCTGAAGGAGGGAGCACGTGCACTAGATTCTGTAATGATCTACGACAGACAGTGAGTAGTATCAGGAGATATCGCAAAATGCAGCTGACTTGTTGCCTCGCTGAACGATAGGGTATTGCAGTCAGTGTTTGCGCTCAAAAGTATATCCCGCAACTGATTTCAGACAGTTTCAGGACAGTCTGAGGCAGCAACAGTCTAATGGTCTATGACAAAATAGAGATATCTTTGGTAATAGCTAATTGAATATTTATACATCTATGCAGCCTTCAAAAATGTAAGGCATCTCAGTAGAGTGAATGTGACATGATCATATGATTAAGATGTAGTCGCCTTCCTACCTCTGACGCTGCATTTTTCAGATTTCAGAAATTACTTCAATACAGCCATTAGGCTGCTCTTACTTACTGTGCCACTTCAAAAAACAAAAAATATATTCAGTTTATGTGTATACCGCACAACCATGTCTTTCTTCATGTTTATCCTCATTTTATAGCTCACCGTAAGCCTAATAGTATGAAATTGATAAGTAAAGAGAACACAGGTTTTTCCCTCACATATCACTCTGGTAGAACAATATGATGTTGTTTGATATGGTTGAATTCTGATTTGTTTTCATTAATAATTTCATTATCACACAGGTCATTCAAATGGGGAGAGTCGGACCCTCTTCCGTATGCAGTTTATGGACATGGAATCGTTTCACACAAAGGGCTGGTCTATGTGATAGGTGGAAAAACTGAGAGCAAGTGAGTGAAGAACCTGATTTTATCCTAATTTACAAACACATAGCCCAGTAATGCCAGGTTGTCCTTGGTTTTCATAACCGCATGACTTGAAATGTGATCATTCAGGAAATGCTTGAAGAGAGTCTGTGTCTATGACCCCACTAAGTTTGAATGGAAGGATCTGGCACCCATGAAAACTGCCCGCTCGCTGTTCGGCGCTGCTGTTCACAAAAACAAAATCTATGTGGTGACTGGAGTTACTGATAGCGGCCTGACTAGCAGTGTGGAAGTCTACGACATCGCCAGCAACTCGTACGTGCCGCTCCTTTATCATATTATGTGTACATTGCAAGCTCACCAAACATAACTCAGGTAAGTTGCTCACTTGTGTCTCCTGCTTAGCTGGTCCGAGTTTGTGGAGTTCCCTCAGGAGAGGAGCTCTCTTAACCTGATCGAGCTGGGCGGCTGCTTATATGCTGTGGGGGGTTTTGCTATGATGCCCAAAGAGACCACCGAAAAAATGGAGCCCACTGAAATGAATGACATTTGGAAGTGAGTATTTAGGTTAAAGAAACTGTTTTAAAAATGTATTGAGCTAGGAAGCTTGGTCATATTTAAAACTACAGTTGAGACATGAGGATTGAACTTGGGATTTTCCTGACAGGTTTGACGAGGAGGAGAACTGCTGGAATGGGATCCTGAGGGAGATCCGTTATGCTGCAGGAGCCACAGTGCTTGGGGTGCGTTTGAACACCTTGAGACTCACAAAGTTGTGATCTACAGTTGTCATTAATAGACAAAATAATGCCGCTCGTTTATGAAATAATATTTTCATAAACGAGCAATACATATACAGTATACCACTGAATCATAATGAACAGCACAGACCTAGCTTGCTTAATGTTAATATAGTTTGTTTGTGGTAGATCTTAAGGTAGCCTATATACTGCGTCTGTAATGGATCAATGTTTTATATCCAAGTTGGAGTTATGAATTTCACTGGGTCAGTGTACAGAAGATCTTATTATGATGCAAATAGTCTAAAAAGAGATTCTACTGTTTTCAGAAAAGGATGGAGACAAACACAAGACCTTCTATTTTTTTCATATTGGGTAATTAAATGTTGAATAATTTGACCTTATTTAAATGTCCATGTACATTGATTTCTATCATTCTATTATATGTTATTTTAGACAACAACTTAACATTTTGCAATTATGACCAAGTGCAATGTTCTTATATTAAAAAGAGCGAGAAATAAATGTTAATGACTGAACAATAATCTAATATCCTGTAGACAATGACCAAACTAAATTAAAACACTACAAAACACAGTTGTGTCTGTAGTAAATGTCCAAAGCCAAATGAAAATAAAAAAAAAGTTAGGGTGAAGGATTACAAGTGTTATTTATTTTATTTATTTTTTGGATACTGCTATTGACGTTCATGGTGGATCCCCAAGTTTTTTCCTCATGCCTAATAGACAGCTGATGCAAACACCAACACTCTGGAATGAAGAGATCTGAACACCTCTCTGGTTTTGGAACATAGACCAAAATATTCATAATTACATCAACAGAAATTACAGTTTTTCTCAATTGCTAAAACACTAAACCCTATTGTCTGAACCAAATGCTCAGGTGCCTGAACCCACTGATTGAATCAATCACTCTTTTGGCAAAACCATAAGCACTTTTCACCTGTTTAGACACAACTTGCCAACACATTTTCATTGTGATGCACCCGTGCTGCATAATGGTGAGCACAGGTGACAAAAGTCAAACACAATTAAAGCACAGTTGTCACCACTTGAACACAACAACTCAAAATTGATCACACTTGTGGCTAATGATGTGAGGGAACATACAGTAAGCCAGTTCAGAGAGCACTGGTTTGTGAAGCCCTACAATGGATATAAATCTGAGAGGATTCTGAGAGAGTTTTCACAGAGCCCTCCAGGTTAGAGAGTGGTTCAATATGAACCAAGGTTTTACAGTATTACTGTACAGTAATCTTTGCCTTCCACCGTACTCCCCTTTCCTAAACCCCAATGAGGAATTCTTCTCCTCATGGCGGTGGAAGGTATATGAACGCCAACCTTACACCAGGGTAAATCTCCTGCAAGCCATGGGACTTGCCTGTGGTGACACAGGTGTGGAGGCATGCCAAGCCTAAAATACGGCATGCCAGGGGTTTTTCCCCCGTTGCCTGACCAAACAAAATGTGGCCTGTGATGTGGATGAAGTCCTGTGGCCTGACCCAGTAAGGAGACATGATGCTGTGGCTGAGTAATGCACTTATTTGTATTTTTTTGTACTTTATTTTTACATGGGCTTACTGTACACAAGTGGCAAACGCATAAGATTTCTGTATGTTTTTACAAGTGCTACGTGTAAATGCACAAGATTTCTGTTTTGTCTTTTTGTACAAGTGCTAAATGCAGTTTTTTGTTTGTTTTGCAACATGCATTTAGCCGTGAACACTAAACATTTATCTCTCCAGCTTCATGTCCTGAGCATTGTGTTTTCTATTTTTCTACGTAGTGTTTAGTGACTGTTTAGTAGTGTTTTTAATTTTGATTGACTTGGGGCACGATTTGACAACATAGTTCAGTTTTGAGCACAGATTGAACTGTTTTGAGGTGAAAGTTTGGTTTTGCAAGAAGAGTCTGAGGTTTTGTGAATATAGCTTGAAAATTGGGTTTTGTGTTCACAGTTTAGAGAAAAGGAGAGCAGCTTTCAAGAAATGTGTCTTAGCAATCGAGAAAAACTGTAAAACACTGCAGACATAAGATTGTAATAGCCAATTCATGAAAAATACCAAAATTACTGCTGTTTAAAAACATTTAAAGATCTGAGACTACAAGATTCCAGGCTAAAAGTGCAAAAATGACCAGTTAAAAAAAATAAAAAAAAATATTTTTTTAATTCAGAAGACATTAGAGTCTACATGAGACTGTGAAAAGTGGATGTATATTAAATAGAGAAGTTTTTTTCTTTTTTCATTAATACAATCTCTAATAATTCACCGGTTAAAGGAGCGCTGTGGTTTTTATGACCTACAATAACAGCTCAAGTTCAACCCAAACACATCCAACCAAAAACATAAAACCTCAAGTTTCTTTGAGGTTTTGAATTCACTGACTCATAAATGTATCAGCTTTACAAGCTAACAACATAGTTATTATTATTATTAATGCTTCTGAAAACAAAGAACAGAAATGATAAAACTATCACAAAATGTAAAGACTAAACAAATCCTTATGAAACCCTTCACACCAACAAGCTAGTAAAATAAAGTGCCAGAATCTACTGACTACACATTTCCACCACCGACATGACCTGCGTTATTTACTCATGAATTCTCCATATACCTCTATGTAAATATAGCAGATCATCACCCCAAATACAAATAGTACTTATGGACAAACTCTGACGTAAAATAAAGCATCTAAGACTAATACAATGTAAACTGAAAGCTATATAAACCGAATATGATTTTGTCTATTTATTATTCTGTAAATATACTGTACATAAAAGCCTATATGTATTACATTTATTATTATACATCTGGGTAATAGTTTTAGGGCTCGACATTAAGCCTTTTCATGTACTTGTCCGTGTAAAAAAAGTTGCTTGTCCGAATTTTCTTTCTTTTTTTTGTGTTGTAAATATAATTTATTCTGAAGCAATATTATCATCAGTGTTCAATCAGCTTTAGTATATTTAAATCTGCATATTGTAACATCTGCACCTTTAAAGGGCAACCCCCCAATCTTATCTTTCATTTTAAATTCCTAAATTTGATCAATAATATTTATAATAATAAGACAATATAGGGCGGTTACACTAGGCAGAGCTGATCAAATTAAATCATTTACACTGAAAAATTACAATTGCATTAAATAATGTTATGAGATTGTTTTAAAGGTGCTCTAAGCGATGTCACGCGTTTTTTAGGCCAAATCATTTTTTGTCACATACAGCAAACATCTCCTCACTATCCGCTAGCTGCCAGTCCCCTGAACACACTGTAAAGAAATGCGGTCTCTGTAGACAGCCCAGGCTCCACAAACAGCAACAAAAACAAACTGCAGCAACCCGCTCCACGAAACATAACAAACAGTGTTCCAGCCAATAACCAACGAGAAGGATTTGGGGGGTTAGTGCGCGTACACACGAAGGGGGGTGTGGAGGAGAGAGAAGCATGAAGAGGGAAGTTAGAATTATATAACTCTTTAAGTTTGATATGGCCGACAAACGACCAAAGAGACGACGTTCCGATGAACAGATTGCAAAAATGCAAAGAAGAGTGAAAAGGAGAAAGGAACGCCCAAAGTCCCGAATTTACATTGGAAAAGCCTTTGAAAAGGTAACGTTAGCGAGAACTCCGCCGGCAGAAGGGCTTCCAATCCGACATTCAGCTAGCACTGTTTTTACTGGACAGGTGGGTAAATCCAGTTTGATTTTTCTAAATGGACTTTCATGTTCGCCTAACAAACACAAGGATATAATTATCTAGAACAATGCAGTCAGCGCTAACTTTGGTGAATACAACATATTGATACAGGTTTCTAGCAGCTAGCTATCGATCTCTATTGTAAATGATCAAGCAAACTCGCAGTAGGGCGACAGTTTGTGTGAATGATTGTTTTCACCCACTGTTTGTTATGAATTTGAATGTTCATTCATAGCCTATTGACAACTTTGACTAAATTTGTTTACGACGGAGCCGTTGTTTATGCTCACTGGGAAACGCGAAGCTATCTTGCTATTATTGCGTCCTTGTATGGGAGCTAAAGTTATAACCTCTGGTGGTGAAACATTTTATCTAGTTTTTCTGGTAATGTTTCTCTTTTTCGGCATTATATGAAAGCATTTATCTAACTTGGCGGCATTACACCTTGAATGAAGTATCAGTATAACTACAGGGGGAGGGGACGGGATGAGGAGGAGGGAGGGTCTAGCTAACCTCCGTTTTGTTTGACAATACTTCGAACGTCAACAAGAAGTGACGTCACCCAACATTGCTTAGACTAGAGCACCTTTAAATATTCAAATAAGAAACGTTGGAAAGAATGATACTTTTAAACATAACACTAAACCGCCAGTAGGCGGCGGCAGGCGACCGTCTTAATAAACAAGTTATTGTGTCATTCATTGCATTTAATTTTAACGGTTTATTGAACTGTTGTATGAAATCAATGTCACATTTTTCATCGTGATGGTATTCAGGAAAATAGCACTCGTCGTGTGAGATTGCTTAACTGTATCATATGTTAAAAATATAAAAACTCCACATTTTTATCAGCAGTATGTTGTTAAATGAGTTTCTTTTGTGAGAGCTGCGCTCATTTGTTTAAATTCTCCTCGAGAGGCTGCGAGATCCTCGGCAGCGCAACCTTGTTACAGTCAGTAATGCATTTATTATTTACTATCGATCGCAACTTGTAATAAAATCAGAATCATTCTCGTTTTAGTGATTCCCTAGTTATTTTTTTGTTTTTGTTATTGACTTTCTAATCAGGCTACTAAAAAAATTCTCTTTTACTTGTCCCGGTCCGGACTCCCGGACAAGCGTTAATGTCGAGCCCTGCAGTTTTAGTATTTTACTTAATACTTTTTGCCTAACTAGAGTTTTTCATAGCACAGAGAACTCTGTCAACATTTGAGATGGGAATGGAAGGGATATTAAAATGTTTTTACATCAGACATTAGAGAAAATGACATATGCAAACAAACAAAGGCTAACATGAAATCCCAGGCTCTTTGCTACATACACAAAAGTACCTCTGCATCACAAAGA